ATTCTTGGGAAGTGTGAGTTTCTAAACCCTGGAGGAAGTGTGAAGGATAGAGTTGCTGTGCAAATCATAAAAGAGGTAAACTATGTTTTCTCTGAGCTTGTGTTTTGGATTCTGTTTCATTTCAGATCACTCAGTACAGTCATTAAGATGTGTTGAGATCTTATGGACATTGAAATCCAGAAAATAAGTGTGGGATTAAATTTCATGAAAGTTATATGAATCAAAATAGAAAAGATCGAATTAAACATGATTTGTAAGAGGAGATTAGATTCATTTCTAGAAGATTTGGAAGTTCTCAAAGCGCTAGAGATATCTTCATGCATGGGAGGTTTTGTTGTTCATCGTCACTTTATTTGTCCCTCATGCATTTTCTTAGTGATCAAAACAAGTTGATGCTTGAAACTGTTTCTTATAACCTGCACAGGAAATGCTGGAGTTTTGTTTGTGAACAGGTTTGTTTCTCTGTTATACATTCTAATTCATTTCTCAATATAGGCTTTGGAGTCTGGGAAGCTAGCTCCTGATGGAGTAGTCACTGAGGGTAGTGCTGGAAGTACTGCAATTAGCCTTGTTACTGTTTCTCCTGCCTTTGGCTGCAACTGTCATGTTGTGATCCCAGATGATGCTGCTATTGAAAAGGTACGTAATTCTTGGTTAGCTTTTTTTTATTCTACTTAATTTGTAACATCATGAGCTGGTTTCCTAGCGTTTTCCTTTTCTCTTTTTCAGCTGTCTTTCTTTTCTACATGCAATCTAAGCAACATGCTTATATCTGTTGGTCTCATGAAATTCTGCTAGTCTCAAATACTTGAAGCCCTGGGTGCTACTGTCGAAAGGGTAAGGCCAGTTTCAATTACCCACAAAAACCACTATGTCAATATTGCTAGGAGGCATGCACTAGAAGCAACTTTGTTAGCAGCAAAGCATAGAAAAGCCAGACAAATGGATAGCAAAGACCCATAGGAAATGAATAGTTGCGCACATGATTGGGAGAAACAGAATCCAGCACTCTCAAGTAGTTGTACTGATGGTTTCTTTGCTGATCAATTTGAAAATTTGGCAAACTTTAGGG